GGGAGGAGCGGCTTAACCTCCTCCTACTTCTCCTTCTCCTTCTCGTCACGTTCTTCTCCCTTTCTGCTTCTCTGCGTCTCTCTCTCCCTCTCTCCCATTCGCTTTCAACTTGTTTTCACTTCTCCCCCCAAGTTTTTCGAAAAAGTAGAAGAAGAAGAGAGAGAGAGTGACCACGCCGCTTCTTCTTCTTCTTCTTCTTTTGCATCTGAAGTGGTCAGAAGACGTGGGACGTCTTCTGACTGGGTGTGCACCGCGTTTCCGCGTTTTTTGCAAAAATACTTGCAACTATTCTGGAGCATTTTTAGCTAGATTTCATCATAAATAGGCCGAATTTAGAATCATTTATTCGATGATTTTGGAGGCATTCTAGTAGCCTTTTTTGTGAAAACATAAAATATTGCGATTTTCAGACCATTTTAAAGCAAATATTGCCGATTTTCGGCGGGTTTTTTGAATCGAAAAATTGAGCGATTTTAGAGCTAGAAATGAGCGTTTGAAGAGCATTTAGCTAGTTTAAGAGCCAAGTTTTGCATTACGAATTTCGGGCGCTATTTAGCTCCGAAAATTTTGTTTTTTTTAAAGCCAAACTAGCGAAATTAGGGTTAAATTTCGATAATTTTGGGCAGGTTGGAACCGGAATAAGCGCTAGTTTTTTGGTTGTTTTACGTCTAAAAACTACTAAGATTTTGAATAATTTTTGGACGATTTTAGAGTCGAAAATCAGCATTTTTGGGTAGCATTTTCAGCTAGTTTGAACTTCGAAAATGACGAAAATTGAATTGAATTTTGGGCGTCATAGACACATGAATTAGTGATGAGCAATGAGGAGGATGTCTTCTCTCCATCTCATCTCGAAAGGAGAGAAGACATCGTCATTTTCATGCCACGTCATATTAGAAGCAGACATTTTTTGGCATATTTAAGCGATTTTTGGGTCGTTTAAAGCCTGTTTTCGAGTCATCTGGGAGGGTTTCTGGGTAGATTTTTTGCGCAGCCTTTGATAACGTCAGAAAATCAGAATTCCAAATTTTTCGGTTTTGAAAAAAAAGTATATGTTTTAATGTCAGAAATTGAATTTTCAAAGAATTCTAGAAGAAGAAAAAAAAGATATTCTAAAAAATATCATAACAGAGTGAAGATTTAGCCGAATTCTTCGAAAAAATTCAATTTCTGATATTAAAATATAACTTTTTTCAAAACCGAAGAAAT